CGTCTTACTCCTGATGGGTCTACCGTCCACGAACCCAGTGAAATCGTCTCGTATGTTCACGACGTAGTTCATATTGCCTACGCCCTTCGGCATCTTCACCAGATCGATGTGTACCTTCTCTCCCGGTCTGGTGGGATAAAATGGATGGAGAGGCTCTTTGTACTTCACAAGAGCTCTCTTCTGGCACTCCTCGCAGGTCATACAGTACCTCTCGACGTCCTTATACTGTCCTTCCCACCAGTACAACCTGTGTACCTTTTCGTAGGTTCCTTTGACTCCCCTGTGTCCTCCGACTACCCCGTCGTGAAGCTCTGCAACTATTGTCTGTCTCTCCTCAGGGTCATAGACTACTCGTAAGGGCATCCCCGAGCCGACCGGCCTTCGAAACAGATGGCCAGCTCTAAGGCAGTACTGGGCCGCTTGTCTCCGGATATCTGATTATTGACTCTCCTTTCCTGACAAATGTAGCCTGATCATTCGGTATCTGCCCTCGTAAAGGTTAACTAGAAATCTCTCGGCGCGTCTCGGCTCCGCCATTGTCGGGGCTCCAGCTACTATCGGGCGCTCTCCCTCAAGAGGGATCCGAGATAGCCCATCCGCAATGACATTTTTAGTGCCAGATATCCTCTCTACTGTGTAATCATATAGTCGAATCCGTATTAACCATCGTGCAATGGTCGGGTCTGTCAGGCTAAAGTCCTTCTGGAGGACAGAGGCGACCGCGGTGGGATCCACTCGCAAGATGAACCGTTGTCCAGAACAGCTAATACTTCCTTCGTGAATTGACTGTAGTTTCGCTCTGTCGTATTAAGTGTCCTACTCTCAAATCTTAATGGTCTTTCCTTCCCTTCAGCGTTCTTCTGAGACAGCAACCCTCCTACCGAACAAGGTCCAACATCCGTGGCTACTATGAAGGGTCTCCCAGCCTCATCATCAAAGAACGGCACGCCCAGTACGCGTCCTCCCTCCTTAAATTCATCTTTAAGCTCTTGCATAGCGAGTTCCTGCGAGGAATCCCAGTAGAATTTCTCAGTTTTTTGAAGGAGTAGTCTCAATGGCTCAGCCTTCTCCGCATACCCTCGTATGAATATACGCAGTAACCGACCACTCTCAGAAACTGCCGGACCTCGGTTGGACTATGTAATGGTGACAGCCAGTTCAGGAGTTTGTCTAACTTCGCCAGATCTGCTCGGCGTCCCCTCGAGTCACAGATAAAGCCCAAGATCTTAATAGTCGAGACGGCCCATCGGCTCTTTGTTCCGCTGACTGTTAGATTCGCATTGTCCAGCTGCTCGAGTACCGCGCAAATATCCGTTAGGTGCTGCTCGACGAATCTTCTAACTCCAGGTGCAACATCTGCCTCATCCTTGTTTACTGGCCCTTTTATAGGAAAGTCATCCAGAAAAACTTTAACCTTATCAGGGATGAAGTCCTTGAGGACGGCTACCATGGCTCTCTGAAAAACGGCTACCCCATTAGTCCAACCCATAGGGACAACCATCATCTGTATTAGTCCCAATGGCGTATGCATAGCCGTGAGGTGCCTGTCTCTAGGGTCAAGCGGTACCTCATCATAACCTCAGAACTGATCATAGACCAAATAAATCGACCTACATGCGGCGCCTTCTGCCAGTAAATCGGCGTGTGGCACGGAGCCCACGTCTCGTATCGTCACCGCGTTGACCTTATGAAGGTCCTGGATCCATCGGATCTTGCCGTTCGGCTTTCGTAGGAAGAACCATCGATTAGCATAAACGCTATCAGATGGCTCCGCAACGTGGAAAACCATCTTTTCTTTCAGAAAAGCGATAACTTCTTCCTTTTCCTTCTGGGCGTATTTTCATCCCGCGTCATTCCAGGGAACATGTGGTATCGTGTAAATCCTTCCTGGCTAAGCGTATCGAGGGTCAACCCTACCACGCTCCGCGTCACTAAAAGCTATGGCCTTATCACATGTCTTCAGCATTTCTATCACACGTTCTCGCTCCTGTGGGGTCAAATTCTCATCTCCGGTGTCCATCCCTGCTATCCTCTCTTCCGTTAGGCGTTGCGGCCCCTTTCTCTTTCTTTCTTTGATTTCTTTCGTGATCTCTTCTTCCGATATCCCTTCCAGTGCAGATCGCTCGCGGCCCACCGCCGCTGGCTTAACTTTTTGAGCTACTCGCTTGCGTCGCTTGGGCAGCCCCCCATAGGGGGCCGCGCCCTTAAAAAAGACACGGTTACCACACCGCCAAATTCCTCATCTTTTTCCTTCGGGTACGAGTTGTCGTCCACTATTAGCCGACTCCCTAAATCTTCCACCTCCACGATCCGACCTTCTTCCTCTGTGAGCAGTGGTCCATATCT